AATACTAAGATTTACGTGTGCTTGACCCTTCTGAAAATTAGTATGCACACCGTCTAAGCTTAAGCTCTGCTATGATTAGAGGTATTTTTTTTGAAAACTCATTTAAAGAGAAAAATTTATTTATAAAAAACTCGACTTTTGGAGGTATTTTCAAATTGGTAAACCTTATTTTTTTACGAAATTTAATTCCGCTGGAAAAACGGTACCGATTGTTTTTTTGTTTTTGTATGGAGAGTGCTGCACCCTAATGTACATGTATATGTATGTATATTGCTTTCATCCAATTATGCCTAGCTAGATTCTGCTAGAAATACACAATCTACATTCACTAAGAGCAACTAGAGAGAAAACGTAGCAATATTACACAGTTACATAGACAATGCCAATAACATTCCATGCCTCCGCTACATATGTACAGCATTCATAAGCCAACTGCTGAAAACGAGATTTGCGCTTATCGTTGCAAAAACTCACCAGACGCCTGTTATTAGAATCTGTGAAGGATATGGAAGCAATGCCGGCACTGCAAATTGGCTGACAGAGTTCAATGTATTCATTTGCGGATGCGCGTCCAAGCACCTCTTGAATCACTTAGTGCCTACTCCCAATATGAACGACCAGTGTGGCAAATAGATAACTACTTCACAGAGTACCGACTAATATCCATTCCAAATGAGAAGTGAGTCCACTTGCTTGCACGAGTAGCACCACCAAGCCCATCATCTGCATTCGGAGAAATGATTATCCTCGTTATTACAGATTTTCATTTCCATTTCAGGCCATTTCCGTTGCCAATCATGAATGTGTTCGTATGTATGTACAGCCTTGCCTAGATTTTGAGTCAATTTTGCTGAAAATATGCGCAGCATCTTGATATTGCTTTCATCTCCATGCACCACTTAGTGTTGGCTTCAATTTCAATTGCGATTATGCTCCCCTACTCTTGCTTTACAATCCTCTCTGCTACGGAAATGAAAAATATGAAATTCCATACTTTGATGATGTTATGAATTTAAAATGTGTCCAGTGAAATGCCGAAACTATGCTCTTACGCATATACAAATGGATGGGTGTTGTTGTTACTTGTGCTTACAGGTTTTGGTAAATTGCATAAAATTGTTTGCATTCTTGGCTAGAGGCAATTTACGGTACACAGTGGCACACAAAATTTAATACACTTTTGCGTTGTTCGAAAAGTGCAAATACTTGTCTCCTTTCGCATGGAAATGCTAATGATTTGCAGAGCTGCTCTCCTCTTACCTCCCATTCCTGGGAAAGAGAACTTAATTGGATAGCATATTGAAATTGATTAAGGGCTGAATTTATGTAATAATATTGTGCTTTAGTTTTATATTACTCATACGCCATGACGAACATAATTTCTGGTACTATCAACTTAACTAACACATTATTATGATAATTTATTTAAATTATTAATTAATCGATTTTAACTTGTTTAACAGGTGGCATGCACCTTAAAAAATATTTTCGAAATAGATCGTTTTGTAACTTTTTCGTTTGACATCTGCACTGTTGTAAATATTAGTAAACCTTATTAATTAATTCATTTTAACTTTTAGAAAAGGTGAAAGCTCTTTAAAAAATATTTAATTAAATATTTGTTAATTAAGGATATAACCTATCCGTATGCCAAATTTTATTCAAATATGTCTAGCTGTTTTAGCTTGAAAAAGCAACAAACCTACTCGCACACTCACAAACTTTCCATTTATATTTCGTAATAGTAGGATTATTTAGATTGAAGAAGAAAATGAGCGCAATTTTTCAACATAAGGAAATATTCAGAAATACATGTAAAGGCTAGGACTTAAAAAAGAAAACGTTTTTGCATTATTCAATTAAAATATTAAAGCGTGAATGTGGTTAAACACTTGGAGTCATAAATGAGTCTTTAAGGAGTCCTATTTCGGAGCCATTACGCTCATAATGAGCTCATTTAAGCGTCCGATATGTAGGTGTTTCCCTCCCTCCGAAGGTCGACTTATATGAGCTTAAATTTATACATCAAATGAGCCTCAATATGAATCATATTGCACTTTTATTGGCCTCATATACGGCTCTTTTGGACTCATATACATATGTATGTATGAATCATTTTACACTCTTTTTGAGGCTCTTATCGGCCTCATAAATTGTTACATTCGGACTCTTATTTTAGGTTGTTCTTTGAGTTTTGTTGAACGCACTATATTTGCAAAAGCATTCAGCAAATATTCCTTTCAAATAACATATGTATATACATACTTACGTGCATACACACATTCCAACATGCATTCAATAGCAGCTAAATTTTTTCGTTTTCTGTTTTCTAATTATTTTCAATTTCCGTATAAACAAGTTTAGATATAAATTTCAAATCTTTATTGCTTTTATATTGGCACAAGGTACTTGCTCATAACTTGGTTCATACATAAATCCTAAAAGATTCATATAAGAGTAAACAAATTTTTGTTTTTGAAACTCATATTTCTTACCTACCTACATAGGACTCGTTTCGGACTCATATATTCTGAACGCTCAGAATATGTTTGCGGGGCAAACATTATATGTATGTATGTATGTGTGTAAATAAAATTTTAATTTCCTCACTTTCATAAATTTCTTGTCTCTCTCTCCGTTTTTTTCCAGGCTTTTACTTGCATTTTGTGTTATTAAACGATACGTTTTAGTGCCACTTGAAGTCGTAAAGCGCACGCCTCTTGAAACGAACCAACAAAGGGTATTCCGTGTCCTAAAATTATGCTCCACATTGGAAAATTTAATGAAATGGCTTTTCATAAATAAACACGGGAAAAAAGTAAACACACATTTTGGCATCCACGGCATCCAACACATTTCAACAAAATGCTATCATAAAAATCAAACGACAAATAAATACCTATGTATTAAGGTGGTAAACGCTGCCACAAAACACTAAATACTAATAAAGCTCAAAATTAAAATGTATGACTACTCGTGTGTGAATATTGATATATGTATATTCATGTACTTGTGTATGTGTATGTGCTGACAGAAAGTTGTAACACGTATAATATATGTAATAGCTTATCTGCTGTTGCGTGCAAGATGAGCAATTTTAATATGACTACCGGGACGTATGAGTGACATTAATGGTGTGACAAATCAGTTTTTCGCTACCAAGCAAAACAATAGGGGCTGAGTTGCCGATAAAACCTGATGAACCAAAAGTTATATATGTATGTGTATGTATATAAATAAACATATAAAGAAATACTAAATTAAATTTTTTTACTTAGCACTCAATTTTTCTTTTTGTTTCAAGGCTTTTCTATACATATATACCAATGTGTGATTAAACGATTTTATGCATTTAATGATAAACGTACATATCAAAATTGTCAACAATTTATGAAATAAAAATTTCTGATGCTATTTCGTTTAAATTTAAAATTTTCAGCTTTTTCTTCTCCGATGAAATTGTACAATTGTTAATGAAAACTAATTAAAATTCTGTCATTTACCACAAATTTAGCCACAAGTGAAACTATGAATTTGTAAAAGCAGCAATTAGAATTATTTTAATTGAAATTTTTATGCCGAAGACGTCATGACTATGGTTTTCTACATACATATGTACATACATACCATGCCCAAAATGCCAGTATACTAATATAATAATAAAATCAAGAATATGTTTTATGGATTTTATGCCACAATAAATATGTATTAATAGTTGGAAAATGTTGAAACTAATATGTACACTCTAAAAAATGTTTGTTTAAATTTGCATTTATTAAGATTTGTAACCAGTTTCCTCTCTTAATGAATGCAAATTTACGCATCGTGTTAATTAAACTAAACACTGCTTGTTTACTTTTAATTATCACATGTGTGGCGTATAACAAATTTCAAATTTGGTTTTTGAGTTCTAAACATTTATTGTTCATAATCCTACAGTTTACACATAAAATGTTTGAAATTTCCTATAAATTTTTTTGTTGTTTAAATTTACTCATACAAAAAGAGGTGACCAGTTTCCTCTCCTAATGTGTGCAAAATTAAACACTGTCTGCAGAGAAAAATTACACGCAAAGTATTTAAAATTGAGTAAATATGAGCACTTAAAATTTATTATTTGTAAAAAAATATATTGTTGCCTTCAGAGTGTATATCAAACCTCCGAGTGTATTTTCGCCATGAAAAAGCAAAAGGAGGGTAAAACCGTTGGGATTAATTTATTAATTGGAGCAAAAGCTTGGCCAAGGACTTAGCGAAATGTGTGAAGCGCCATTTTTTGTTGTAGTTGTGTGATTTGTACGTGTGTAAATGAGCCTGTTCGCATGTAATGAAACAAAATGTTTTTAAAGTGATATTTGCGTAATAACTTTGTTGGTTTACAAAAAAATCACAAAAAGTATAAACAAATATTTTTTGAACAAAACTTAATTCCCAATTTCGTCTTTAAATCACCACTTTGTTATGAGAACAGATTGAGATTTTGGAGAAATATTGAATAGTTTAAACTTTATCCAAGCTGACCGTGATATTTTGGAAAAATTCGCTGCTTTCAAGCCGACTTGCCAAGGACTTCTGCCAGGATAAGGGTTGGCAAGTCCATACTTTTCAAATCAGTACGTTAAAATTTTTCGAAATTTGATAATTTTATCCCTGGACACGATGGAACATCTTTTTTCAATTTTATGACTTTTCATCTATCAATTACTATGATCCTGCCAAGGACCAAGGACCTCGCAAGTCGGTGATTTGAAGTTGCTCTAGATAATTTTGTTTATTTTATTTCAAGACAGCAGGCAACATATTTTTGAGCAGTCGGCTCTCCAACTATAACTGAAACTTTTAGGGTATTTTTTCATGCACTTTTGTTTTATCTTTATTTATTTATCACTTTTTTGGGTTATGTATGCCGTCATTTTAGCAAACGAGTGCTATGTATGTATGTATATATTTTAGAAAATTCCAAAAATCTTAACCAACACATATACACATTATTTACGTACCTGCATTCGTTGATGCATTCGAATGATTCACTGTGACCATCGACGTGGCCGCTGAATTCGCATTGGTATTATTGGCATTCAATGCATTACTACCCGCATTACTACTGCCACCATTTAGCAACGCCACTGTTGCATTTGTGCCATTTAAATTTTGTTGCTGCTGTTGTTGTGCCATAAGTGCTGCATGCGCCTCGTTTTTATTGGGAAAACTTAGGCGATGCTGTTGGTTATCGATCGTCATTGGTGATATAAGCGCTTGATTACTGCTGCTGCCATTCGAACTGAGCGGTGAGACGATGCTATCCGCAGCACCAATAGGCGTTATCTCTTGGGCTGATGCTGTTGCTATTGCAGTCGCTGTTGCTGTTGCTGTCGCTGGCGTTGGCGCTGAAATCGATACTGCTATGTTACGTTTACTGTAAACAAGTGCCGCTGCTGGCGATGTTTGTATCGAGGCAATGGAGGTTGGTAGATTAGCGGTGGATGATAAAACAGATGCGTTAGCCGTTGTTAAATTTGCTGCCGTTACACTTTTGACATTTAATGCGGATTGTGCTGCTGTCACTGTCGTTGTTGTGACAGCTGTGGTGCTGTTGTTGCTGGTGCCTCCGCTACCGTGATCCAGCGATAATATCGGCTTTAGCGGTTTATTATTGTTGATCGTTTTTTCGTTAATCGTTGCAATGCTTGAGTCAAGCGATTTAATATTTTTCTGTAACGAAGAAAATAAGCTGATATAAAAGTATGTCCTTGGTTGCGTTTAATGCAGAAATGGGTTTTATTTCAAAATATTACTCATTAAAAAATGGGAAACATGCAATAATAATGTGGGGTAGCATATTTTTAGATCAATC